CAAGTTTGAATCTAATCCAGGTGCCACCCAGAAGCTTGGCATAGTTATGACGGAGCTCGATGGTGTACAATAATAATAATAATAATAATAATAATAATAATAATAATAATAATTTATAAAGCATTTTTAAAAACATGGTTACAAAGTGCTGTACAAGCTGTACAAGAAAAATACAAAAATCATAAAAACAGCACACAGAAAGCAAACAGAAACACACGATGATGCAAACAATCCAATAAATTATATTAAATAAATAAAAAGAAACAGAATAACTTAAATAAATAAGGAATAAAATCAAGCTAAAACCAGGAAGGCCAGCCGATAAATATGAGTCTTAAGAAGTGATTTAAAAGATGATACTGATGGTGTGAGTCTTATCTCCTCAGGCAGGTCGTTCCAAAGCCGAGGCATCCGGACTTAAAGGTTCCATCACCCTACACCTGGAGCCTGGACTTTGGAACAGCTCTCAGGGACCTGCCTGAGGATCTGCAGCTGCACGATCCTCGTATGACCATAAAGCAAAAAAAAATGCAGAAATACAGAAGCCCCTCAGATTATGACTGACCTGAGAATGAAAATCTTACAGGCTCTTTTCATAACTTTATTTATAGCAACCATCCAATCCCCGGTGTGTCCCAGTTTAGAATTTCGAAAATCTGGTCCCCCCCAGCTTTAAGTCCTGGTCCAGACTTGGTTTTGTCCTGGTTTAGCCTATGTGAAATAGTGCTACAGACTGAATACACTCAGCCCCATGCTCCTGGCCTAACCACATTACACTAATCCACTTAAACAGTGAGAGACACAGAATGAAGAGTCTGCTGCAGCGTTACCATGTGAGAATGTCACACAAGCAACAACAAAACCACAACAAACCTGATACACACCATACACACCACCGCCGCCACACACTGCAGGAATATTTGACGATGGAAGCTGCGATTTGCTTTTTCTAGACTTCTAATGGCTTTGTGTCTTTGTATGAGATTTTGAAGCTGCTGCGCTCCTCATCTGTCAGATCATAACCACTAAACACCAGCAACTCTACGGTAACAGCCAAGAAAACAGAGCATCAGGGGCAGAGAAGTGATGGACACAGAGGCGCAAGATACAAACTCAGTAACCAGCAAAAATAACGAGAGAATTTCTCACCTCTCGTAAAGTTAAAAGTTAAGTTGTGTAAATGAGCTTTATGAATGAGGCCCCTGATCTAAGTTATAATGTTCTTTCCTCATCACAAACACACCTGCAGTTGTGTTTTGGTTCATTCACACATTTAACGCACTAATTGCATTTTTCTTTTTTCTTTTTTTTTTGCCTGAGTTCTTCTCTCAAACTCTTTTTCACCTTGTGATGTCATGTGGTAATGACAGTGTTTTTAAACTTCATAACACTTTCACTAGAATCATTTGGATGATTTCATTTGATGTATATCCTGTTCTAATAATAAAGTGTTACTCAAACATGTGTGAATGAAACAAATCACAACTCCAGGTTTGTTTTTGAGGAGGAAACAACATCCATCCATTCTTTTTCTTCCACTTATCCGGGGCCGGGTCACGGGGGAAGCCATCTAAGCAGAAACTCCCAGACTTCCCTCACCCTGGACACTTCCTCCAGCTCCTCCATCGGGACCCCAAGGTGTTCCCAGGCCAGTCCAGAGACATAGTCCCTCCAGTGTGTCCTGGGTCTTCCCCGGGGCCTCCTCCCAGTGGGACATGCCCGGAACACCTCCCGAGGGAGGCGCCCAGGAGGCATCAGAACAGATGCCTGAGCCACCTTAGCTTCTCCTCTCCACGTGGAGGAGCAGCGGCTCTACTCCGAGCTCCTCCCGTGTGACTAAGCACCTCACCCTGTCTCTAAGGGAGCGCCCAGCCACTCTGCAGAGGAAACTCATTCCGACCGCTTGTATCCAAGATCTTTTCCTTTCGGTCATTACTCAACAACATTATTGCAACATTATTATCTTTAAACTGATCCGAAGGTTGATGGTTCAAATCCCGCTCTTGACATACAACATTATTGGTAGAGCGGGCAGATCCACTGACTCATAGGTTGGGGGTGTGACTCCAGCTCCCACAGATGAATGCTGCTGTTGTATATTTGGGACAAGACACTTAACCCACCTCACCCACAGTGTCTGTGGACATTTGTGTGTGTGTGTGTGTGTGTGTGGATGAGTTCCTTGATGTAAAGATGTAAAATGAAGAAGAAGATGTAAAGATGTTGAGTGCCTTACCATAAAGTTTATAGGACATGTATTGATTTTCAAATTTTGACATATATTGGTGAGATGTGTGTCATAGTTTTATACCCATCAAGGAGCAATTTGTGTTGTGTTGTTGTTGAAAAAAATATGCTGAAAAGAGAAGAGAGAATTCTACCTAAAAGTTCAGCACAATTTACACACAAGAAACACATTTTTTTCTGCTTCTCTCAACATTATTTCAACAAAGGCATTTTCTTATGCTTTTATTTGCCAAAAAATATTTCTGTGTACATTAAAGGAGTTTTGGCCCAGTGTACATGGTTGCTAGGTAACAGTGACAAAATTCCCTAGTGTGATGTCAGGATTTCCAACCAGGAAGTCAAATTTTAAACCCCAAAAACATCCAAGCTGTGAGAAAATGTGTACTTTTTTAATTTTTTATTTTTTTAAATTCTGAATTACAATTATATGTTTTGGAGGAATACTAGGTAGTCTAATTTGTCATATATTCTTTAAGTAAAAATCTGTCAAATTCTATAAGTGTTTTTGCAGTGTCTTGGTGATGTTCTGTGGACTGTACTTGCCCTTGAGCTGAAGATTGTATAGATTTCACAGATTGAATTCCTCTCCAATATGGCCGCCATATGTTCACTCAGGCCGGTCCAGAGCAGACTAATGGTTAACACATGGCACCGATCTGTAGAACAACCGAATAATGTTGACATCCCTTCTGTAAATCTACTGTATTTTTCGGACTAGAAGTTGATCTGGAGTATAAGTCGCACCAGCCAAAAAATGTGAAATGAAGAAGAAAAAAACATATATAAGTTGCTACGGACTATAAGTCGCAGTTTTGGGGGGAAATTTATTTTATAACATCAGAAACCAGGAGCCGATATTTCTTGAAGATCGTTAATTCTCCCGACGATTGATTAAGAAAATTTTACCAAATGCCCATCCCTACTTCGGAGTGTAAGTTGCAACAGCCAAAAAATGCATAATGAAGAAGAAAAAAACATATATAAGTTGCATCAGACAACAAGTTTTATTTTATAAAATCAGAGACCAGGAACCGACATTTCCTGTTGAAAGTCGGTCAGTCACTCAGCCTGCAACATGCCGAAGTGAAAAATGCACATTTAACGATGACTTGGACAAGAAATTCCCCGCTTTCCGTTACATTTGGGACAAGTAGGCCGTGTGCACAGTGTACAAAGCAGGTACATATGTGTTGGTGTCCAGTACAGGTGCCAGGGACCTCAAAGCACCAAGACACAGAAAAATATTAAAAAGCTTTGCCAGGTGAGAGTAGCTCAATGCCGTTGACGAGGCCCCACCTCCCACCCCCCGTACGGTGTCCTGGTTTTGACAAATGGAAATATGGTCACCCTAGTGTAGCATAAGGAGACGAGGCTGTGTCTGACAGCGCAGACACTGGAGTTGCGGCCTCACCATCAGCATCAACATCCCTCTGTCACAGAAAGAACATCTATATTCCACTGAGTCGTCTCCTTTAGTCCGACACAAGTTGAACTGCATCAGCACACAAGAGCTGTTTTTTTCTTTGCTTAGTTTATGCAAATGAGCCATGCAGTTTTACGTTTCGTTTCTGTGAGACTTGTGCAAAACTGAATTAAACACATTCTAATGTCAAACAGGCTGATGTGGCTCTAGAGTGGTTATGGTTTATATGCTGTAAAGTTGAATTTATTTATGCAGATTAGTAGTGCAGATAGTAATAATAATGATGATCATTTTAATATAAAAATGTTAATGATTAATCGAAAATCGATTGTTAATTCTCCGGACAATCGAATCGAAAAATTGAATCGAATGCCCATCCCTACTGCAGAGTGTAAGTCGCAACAGCCAAAAAATTTGTAATGAAGAAGAAAAAAAACATATATAAGTTGCTCCGGACTATAAGTCGCACTTTTGGGGGGAAATTTATTTTATAAAATCAGAGACCAGAAACCGATATTTCCTGTGTAAAATCAAGTTGTAGTAATAACAATAGAAGAGAGAACAACAGACTGTTAACGTCACATATGAACAGTTCTTCAGATAAACTATAACATAAACAACAGAACAGAACAAGTTTAACAAACTCTCCATCTCACTCCAAATCACTAAATCCATTCAATTCTTCATCCTTGGTGTCACTTCGGAGGTAAACAGAGCGTCGCTTCCTCTTCTGTGTCGCTGTCGTCAGACTCAGCATCAGTTCCAGTTAGAATTATTCGGGTCTTTCTGAATCCCGACAGGATGGTTTCAGTGTCACTGAAGTCCAGACTTTGTCCATCCATCCAGTGACTTCAGGAAAGTTTCATGGTGCATCCTCCCGCTGTCACAAGTTTCTCGCTCACTCCAAACTTTCTTTCTGCTGCTCGATTTCCATTTTCAGCTGCAGATTTCACGACTTGCAGTTTGTAATCTGCAAAATCTGATTTTCTTTTTGGGTTCATTTGTGTTCAGTTTTCTCAGTCGTCTTTATAAGTTTGTTTAAATGTTAAATTGTTCAGTGGTGCAGAAGTAATGGTGCGATCGACTGACATGATACAGACAGAACAGAGGCTCTTTCTGCAGGAGACATGTGCAGTAGAGTGAAGTGACAGTGGTGCAGGAGGAACAGGAGCAGCAGATACTCACACACAAGACTAGAACCTCTCACCACTTCACTGTCAACATTTTAATATATAAATCACACCAGAAACACCCAAACCATGAAAAAAGTGCAACATATAGTCTGAAAAATTCAAAATATTCTAATGCTGTTTCTGTGTTTGTGTTTTAGCCTGAGGAGCTGGAGGTGCTGCATTCACACACATTCCGACAGAAGAGTTTCAAGAAGTCCAAAGTCTGCAACGTGTGCAAACAGAGCATCCTCCAGGACGGCCTCATCTGCAGAGGTCAGTGAACGCTGCACACCATCGCATACGGTTCATACGTCAACGTCTTCTCCGTCACTTAAACTGACAAATGTGGAATTTTTTTTTTTTTTCACAATAGTTTAAGAAAGTGGTGGAATCATTCAGCACCAAAAACAGGAATAACAGTAATAACTTGAATGTAACTGACTTTAGATTAAAGACCGTCACACTCCGGGACATTTGACGCACGGCAAAGACTCACCTACAGTATTTTTTATGACCAATACCGTCTTTAAGTTTGTGTTATTCTTCCACACATGTCAAACTCCGCCCTGCAGCCAGCTGTTTGTAACCAGGACAGTCCTGTGTGATGTCACATAGTACAAATGGTCTTCAATCCAAGTTTGTATTTCAAATGGATGACTATCTTTTATAGGATTTTTTTTTTCTGTGTGTATGTGTGTGTGTGAGTTTATGGGCAATATTATGAATAGTAAATGGGTCCGGTCAAGCAGTAACGGAGGGAAACAGGGGCAGATTTTTGACATTCAAATGTTCTTATTCAGAAACTAGAGGAACTATTGAAATAAGTAAAGTATCAGAATGTAGGAAAGAGTTACACTCCAACAGGGTCAAGTTAAACCTGTGATATTCTTTCAAGTTGTTGACAAAAAATTTAAAAACTCATGTTGGTAACAGAGGGAATGAAATATGCAACACTTTTTGGGCAATAAATCCAAACAGTGATAACTCTTGGTTCTCACTTCCATATCCTTAACAAACTGGTTTGAATATTTGCTTCATATAGTTTTCTACCATATGGTACAAGATTAGGTTGAAAAACCTCTTACTTTTTGACTCATGAGATTTTTTATTAAGAAAGGTCATGGTAACGGAGGGAAAAGTAACGGAGGGAAAATTGTACAAGCAAGTAGAAGGTGCAGGATTTTATATAATTTGTCAACTTTTTTCTTCTGAATACTTTAATATTACTTCAAAATGAAAGGAAACTATTTCTATAAAATATGTCAGTCCTTCCAAGCAAATTTTTATCATTTTAAATACTTTTTTTTTTTTTAAATCATGTACCTTCATCAACAGTTCAAAGATGGAATAACACAAGATATGATGAAATACATCCATTTATTGACATGATTTTGCAGGTCTTTGAAATTTGGGAAATAATTTTTGTTCCATGTTTCATACATGGTCTGTTTAAAACATATGGAACTTTAGAACCAAAAATGGTACAGAAAAAAGGTCAACAGTTTCATAAACTAGAGTACATATGTATCTGTTCAATACATTTTTATATCAGATGCATTAACTTGAATTTTTGGCCTTGTTGTTTACTTCTGCTTGACCAGGCCCAAATGAGGATGATGTGTATCTGCATCTGCACTGTAACTTTTGTCATGTTACTTTTATTGTATTTTTACTGCTGTTTCATAACTATATGTGGCTTGCATCAAAATGATTTCATAAAAATTTATAAAAAAAAAAAAAAAAGAAATTGCAGAGGCCACTGGAGGTCGCTCAAACTTAGATTTAGATTTTGCAGATCTGCCTCGTCTTTGCCTCTGGGAGCATTTTAACAGAACCACTGTTGTTTGTGAGTCTTGCAGTGATCATTTTATGTCTGTTCAACACTCTGTGGTGTTATTTAGGTTACAGTGGTGGAAATGCAGTACTTGCAGGAAAAAGTATCTGTATTTGTGTCAGTTCAGTAGAAAGCCTGAGAGCCAAAAAAATAAATTGCTCTGAGGGCCACATTTGGCCTGGCAGAGATAGTTTGGACCCCCTGAACTAGACCTTACAAACCTGCAGGGGCAGATAAACAAATCAACTGCATTTGACAGTCGGATACTATTTTGATGGTGTTTTCTTGTTGAAAGTAACATTGCAGTGATGTCATGTTGGTGGTGTTTTACATGTATTTCTATGGTGGAATGTTGAGCTGTTATCATTACACACATTTGCAAATGGTGTCAAACTAGTTTTAAGAAGTTCTGAAAACTGAAAGAAAAAATCTGAAATGGATTTAAGAGCACATTTTGAGGAGCCTGTGATCAGTCTGAGTGTTCATGGTTCTGTTCAGGAGTTTGATTTTCAACTAAAAGGTGAGAGAGACTGTAAGTTTGTGTGTTTACAGCTCACCTGTTGTAATTCCAACTAAACAAGACTTAAACTCATCCACAAGGGAAATGATTTGGACACAGTCGCTCACACATCACAATATAATATAATAACAAAGAAAAAATATATAAATGGTAATAATAACTTCTAAATAAGTAGCAAAAAGAAAGTTCAGACAGAGTAATGTCTCCAGTTAGAATCACAGCCCCAGCGTCTGGAAAAGCACCACACTGTATCAGACTAAAGCATTATGATGATTCAATAGAGCTGATGGGTGTTTGTCAAACTCACTGAACCAGGCCTCACCTCACAAGTCACACCACAACTGTACAATCTGTTTATTTACAGTAACACATCTACAATACATGTCTTTGGTTTTATTTATTTAGTTGGAATGAAAACTTTGTTATCAGAGAATTGACAATAAAATGATGAAACTATTCAGAAATACATGACATTCTAAAACTCCAGACATTATAACATAGAGTAAATATAAAGAAGTTCAAATCCTGACATGATGATAAATCCATTGGAACTGTGGATATTCCAGAGTGATGCTTGAGTTCATTTTGGAGTCAGATCTGCTGCTGCACAAATGGATCTGTCCACTAGGTGTCACTATTGTAACAGTGTTGTGCACTGAGACCTTGTGCTGCTTTTAACATGTGGAACATTCCAACATAATAATATTATCTCCATAGAAACAAGCAGGTGGAAGACTCCCCACCACAAAAGTGACATAGTGCACCTTTAAATATGTCTGTTTTTTCTTAAATCACACCTATTCTGCACAATCCTCTTTTCTGACCTTTGAACCATGTTCTAGTAGTTTCCTTCTCTTTGACCCTCTGAAGTTGTGTTTACAGTAGGGCTGGGCAAAAATAAAAATAAAAAAATAATCGCAATTAATCGCATGTTATATGCAAAACCAATGAATGAATTAAAAAGTAGAGAATAGTGCAGTTTTATTGGAAATGTAAATGAAAGAGCCAAACATTTGTTGTGCAAACAGCATTTCTTTCACAGGGGAACCCCCAGAGTCTTCAAGGTGTTCAGTGAAGGCTCAAGAAAAAATATGAAATGGACTTTTGTACTGTTAATATATTTTTAAATATTGTTTATGCAGTGAGTAATAAACACTACTACTATGAATCATTTCTAGATCATTGTTATAAACTTGGACTGATATTTCTTGGGAAACAAAGGGTTAATATAATGACAAATATAACATTTTTTCTTCCAGTGGTATCTGGGTAAATCAGTGACTCCCCCTGCAGCACTAAAGAAACAAGCTCAGCTCAGAGCGCACGTTGCATCTCACGTGGTCAGAAAAAGACGTGTAAAGAAAAGACGTCAAACTTAAAGAAACACTCGTGATGGACTTTTTCAAAATAAAAGCCAATGAGAAACAGACGTTTACAAATAAATAAATAAATAATAAAAACTGCATTAACAGCGTTAAAATAATTGTCGGTGTTAATGACTTAATTAGTTAACACAAAATTCACTTGTTAACGTGCCCGGCCCTAGTTTACAGTGATTCTTCCATGTTTGAGTCGTCTTTATTCTCCTGTGTTCAAGACGTCATCGCTCTGATCTAGCCCTGTTTTCACCTCCACCGACACACGCCCCTGTCACATACACACTTCCTTCTACAAGTTTAGTTTCATAATCCATCATACATGTAGGATTCAGCAGCATTGTGTTATTATTTTGGTACAAATGTTAAAAAAAGCTCTGTTCTAGTGTGAATGTGCAGCTCTCCATAGGAGGAGCCACAGCTCGTGCCGCTTTGTTGTGATGACGTTTACAGCGACGTCAGCTCCCATTGGACACCACAGTTTTCTAACACACAAGTCAGAGGATTTGTTTCTTTTATTCATTCATATTAGATCAATATTGTGATTTGAAAATATGCAGCAAAATACAACATCATCTCTAATCTATAACAGGCCGATTTTAATCTGTGACATTCTTATTCCACTGCTTTTGTCCTTGGACTTTACTAAAACAAACATTTTCTTATTTTCTAATCTCACTATTTTCATAATAAATTCTAGATTTTGAGACAGAAAAAAACACATGAAACAGATTGATTTCAGAATGTATTTGTGATTGAAAAGTTCCAGTGTAAAGATGGTGCTGTTTGTCTTCATCATTATATAACCAGTGTTCCTCATTCTGTGGCCCTGAGCAACTTTTACAATTCTGATTCAAGTCGACACAAAACACAGTTCCATGTACACACAGAAACACAGAGCACACACACCATCACTGCTCCAGTCTGACATGACATTTACACACACTTACATGAGCAACAACATTGGAAATAAAAGTTCTAATCAAGTTAAAACAGTGTCTGATGTAAAATATATAGAGAATAATATAATAATACAAATGTGAAGAGTTTAGTTTTCTAATAATATGAACAGTAACATGTCATTTTCATCATGTCTTTACAATGATTCTACTTCTGATACAAACCAAGACCATTACAAAGTTACTCAGGATTTTATTCATTGTTCTAATGTTTTATCTCGTTTTGATACTAGTTTTACAATCAGTTGGAGTCGAAACAAGGATTTTAGAGACAACCCTGACAAAAAGATTTAAACTTTATCGAATTAGTTTTTAAAAAAAAACACACACATTTGATCTTAAACTGTGAAGAACAAAGCTCCTATTTGAGTTTAAGGAAATGTGCAGTGTCTCCAACAGAAACAAACAAGCCCCTACTAAACCAGACACCAGCGTAGAGAGGCTGAGTGAACCTGGTCTGGACTCTGTGGAGGAGGCTCATGGTTCTTTCAGAGACGCTGTAAAACGCCAAAACCCCTGCACTGTGGTCCAGGTAAACCCCGATTCTGGACCCGACTGGACCTGAGACCTGGGACTTGACTTTG